GTAATCATTTGTTCTCTGTAGATACTACATAACCCACCTAGCTGTTTTCAAATGATCCATCCTAGGATTACTTAAATATCTCTCTAACATTCTAACAATGAATGATATCTGGATGTATACTTGAGCATATATCAAACTCCCAACTTCTGAAGCGTAGGGAATTTCTTGCATCTCTTTTACTTCAAGTTCATTATTAGAGCATTGATTGAGATTAAATTTATCTTCCTTAGCAACATAGGTAACCTAGTTTCCAATCCTGCATCTCAAATCTCTTAAGTAATGTATTAATATAGCTTTTTTGTGATAATCCAATAATACATATGAGAACTGATCTCGATATATCTAAATTCCCAATACAAAAGAGGCGTCACAAAGATTATTCATCTCGAAGTTGTTCAATAGAAATTTCTTGATTTCATACAATAAGCATATATCATTGCAGGCAAGCAGTATGTCATTGATATACAATACCAGGAAAATATACTTTCTCCCACTGGACATGTGGTATATACAATCATCAATTACATTCATCTCAAAATCAAAGGACATGATTATTTGATAAAATTTGTGAAACTATTGACGGGAAGCTTGTTTAAACTTATAGATGGATTTTTTTAATTTGTAAACTATTTTCTTTGGGTCTCCTGACATAAAAATTTTTCGACTGCACCATATATATCGTCTCATCAATGTCATCATCGAGAAATTTAGTCTTTACATCCAAATGATATAGCTCAATATCAAAATGTACCACACGTGCCATTATAATCCTGAAATAGTATTTCATTGAAACTAGAGAGAAAGTCTCTTTGTAACCAATGTCTTTCCTTTGAGTGAATCCAGCTATCTTTATGTTCTTGGAGAAATACTATAAAGTCATTTGAAATTTCATTTTTCCATTCTCCAGTGGATCTCTTTAATGGAATTTGTTTTTGAGGTTGTTGAGTTTCTTCTTCTGAAACAATCTCTTGATTGTTTATAAGGGGTTTCGGAATGTTGTCTTAATCCAGAATTACTTCTTGAATAATATTTGGAGCAAGAATTTTTCTTTGGTCCAGATCATTGTCAATTACAATATGAGGGATATTTATATATTCCTTCTCAAAGACAAAACCCATAATCTTATCTTCTCTCGCAAACATGACATTCTC